AAAATGGGAAACAGTTGTGCCAATGTAACAACTACAAAAAAACTAAAATTTGAATTTGGAACCATAAACAAATCATCCATTCCCGATAGTTTTTTGACTGAATGTATGACATTATTGCCAATTTACAAGGAAGGCATCTTGGTAGTCTGTGTCCCTGTACTTCCAACTACACTAGCAACTTTGTTCAGTTCAGTATTCTGAAAATCTTTACACTTTTTCAGCGTCGTTTTTTGTCGTAGTTGGGTTTCAATTTTTTAAATTTTATTATTGCAGTTTTAACTAAGATGCGGCCGGGGAAGTTTCATTTTACCATAATATGTGCAGTTTAAAAGGGCCTGTTACGGTTACCTCAGATACCATTCGGTGTTCCTCATCAGAGTAGTCCGTGGGAAATGCAGAAATAAACAATGGTTTCATATTAAAGATTTTATTATTGTACTGCTGCCTACATCTGACATAATATCATCCACATACATATATTCCTGACATCAGAATCCTTTCACCAACATTGAAACTGAGATATCTCATAATTATGTTTGACATTATATCATTAATATTATACATAGGCATTTAATAAAAATATTAAAAAAATACTTTTTACAAATAATATTATATTTAATTGATCAGATCTTCATTATAATGCAGTCAGTATAGATATATCTACTATAAAATATAAATGCACACTCTGATGGTGTTACACTAGAGACAGAACTCGGAAACTAATTACTGAAGCGAGACAATCGTAACATTTCAATAAGATTTTGTAACATAAAAACTGAGAACAAAATCCTTGAATAAGAAATGTTCCAGTTGTAGTGTGTGTGACACCTCGCCTCGCACTATTAGTAAGTAGTGCACGTTAGTTATTGAGACTCTTAATTAAAGTTGGTTATTCATGAAAATAACACGCTCCCTCATTGCTCCACATTGCACAGTAATAAAGTATTGCGATACTAAGCGATACGATACGAGTATTCGTTGGATTCTTAATACTAAGTCGCTACGGAACGAAGCGAGTCTTTGGCGTGGAAACGAAGTCGAAGACATGTTGGATCAGAGCGGGGCGAGCAAGTTGTCGTCGGAATCGTCCTCGTCGTCGGCTTCTTCGGCGGCCTCGGCCTCGGCCTCGTCCTCGTCGGCCGACAGCAGCGTGCGGCACGTGACGTCATTGGGCCGGCCCAGCGACAGCGTGCGCCCCGGCACACGCGTCACCTCCGCGCGCCCCCGCAGCACGCGCAGCCGCGCCCCCCGCGCCCCCGCGCCCGCCCCCGCCCCCGCCCAGTCGCTGCGCAGCGCGCTGCGGCGCCGGACGCGCAGCGGGGCCGCCGCCGCGCGCACGCACAGCGCCACGCCCGAGTAGAAGTCCAGGTCCGCGCCCACCCGCAGCCGCGGGGCCAGCTCCGCGCGCGCCGCGCCCGCCAGCCGCGCCCAGCCGCGCACCGACACGCGCGCCTCCGCCGCCACGGCCGCGCGCAGGGCCAGCGCCGCGCGCGCGCTGCGCGTCCACAGCGACAGCGTGGCGTGCGCGTCCAGCGCCAGCGAGGCCGCGGCGCCGGCCCGGCCGCGCGCCCACAGCCCCGCCTGCAGCGCCAGGCGGCCCGCGCGGCCCCGCGCCCACAGCGCGCGCAGCACGGGCGTGGGCGCGCTGGCCGTGGCGGCCCACACGTGGCCCAGCAGCTCGGCCTGGCCCTGGAACAGCTGCACGTCGGGCAGGCGCGCGCCCGCCACGCTCAGCGCCAGGCCGGCGGCCGGCTCCTCCGGCTCGGCCGACGCGTCTGGCTCCGCGCCGTCCGTGTTGCCTCCGCTGAACGCCTCCAGGCCTCTAGTCCACACCTCGATCTGTGAATGTCGAAGTCCATTGTATATATTCGATCAGAGACACGCTCCGCCGAATGTCAGCGCCCCGACCGGACATGCGACGAGGGCGAGGCGACGTACTGACCGACAACACTTCGTGCGTGCGGTTGGCGGGGTCCAGCGCCTGCAGCTGCACCGCGCCGCGCCGCAGCAGGCCGCCCGCCGCCACCTGCAGCGCCAGCAGCTCCGCGTGCCAGCCGCCGCACGCCCAGCCCGGCGCGCGCTGCAGCACCGAGCTGCTGCCGGCCGGCGCGGCCGCGTCCCAGCCGGCCAGCGCGCCGCTCAGCATGGCCGGCAGCGCGCGCAGCGGCGGCAGCGTGGCGGCGCGGCCCCACAGCACGCGGCGCAGCTCGTGCGCCGCCGCGCCGCGCTCCACGTACAGCGCGCCCGCCACCGGCACCAGCGCCGCCGGCAGCTCGGCGCGCCGCCGCACCAGCAGCTCCAGCGCGGCGGCGCGCACGTCCAGCGGCACGTCGCGGCGCAGCGCCAGGCGCGCCAGGCGCTCCAGGTGGGCGTCGGTCAGCGCGGCGGCCGGCGCGGCCTGCAGCGCCCAGAGCGCGGCGGGCGCGGCGGCGTCGGCGCGCTCGGCGTGCTGCAGCAGGACGTCGGCGGCGGGCGCGCGCAGGTTGCCGAGCGCCAGCAGGCGCGGTGCGCGACATTCCGGGTCCCGACATCGCGCCAGGCCGCGCAGCGCCGCGTCGCGGACAACCGGCGCGGCGGCGGGCTGGCGCGCGGCGGCGGCGGCGGCGGCCAGCAGCGCGGCAGCGGCGACAGCGGGGTGGCGCGCGTCGTCCGCCAGGCGCAGCACGGCCAGCACGGCGCCCTCCTGCCGGACACGAACACGGTTACACCGCTATGCTGCTACTCTACTACAGTGCTACATAGGTACAATGCTACTCTGCTACGGAGCTACGGTGCTATAGATGATTAATTTTTTACTACTATAACAAATCTTACGGATCATCAAACACTGGGGTCAGGCATACAGAAACAAGCCACATACCTCGGGGTCGTCCGCGGCGCCGAAGGCGGCCAGGAACACGCGCGCCGGCTCCAGCGGCAGCTCGCGCGCGGCCAGCTGCAGCTCGGCCGCCGCCGCCTGCACGGCCGCGCGCGCGCCGGCCAGCGCCAGCAGGCGCAGCAGCCCCGGCAGCGCTGGCTGCGCCGCCTGCGCGCGCAGCAGCGCCTGCAGCGCGGCGCGGGGCGCGCGGCGCAGCGCGGGCAGCAGCTGCAGCGCGGCGCGCGGTCCGGCCGCGTCCCCGCCGGCGCCGGCCGCGTCGTCCGCCAGCGCCCCGGCCCAGCGCTGCACGAGCTCGCCCAGCTCCTTGCGAACAAATATTTTATTTCAGATATATCCTAGGCTAATGTAGATATTGATTCAAATTAAATAACGGTTTGTAAAACATTTCGATTGTATCCCGCTCCTCATGTAAGTACAGGCGGAACAGTGACATAGTGCGCGCTAGCAGACACTAACAATGTTTGTAAGGAATATAACCTCGATCCTTTCACAACTAGTGTAAATTCGGCAAAAAGTTGCTGAAGTCTCAAATTTTTCAAGCAGCAAGTGTTATATCTAAAATGTTTTGGGAATAGAAATAAAAAAAAAATCTACAAAATTTTCAAAACTCCCTCAATACTTTCCAAGCAACCCACATATATCCTCCAATGATCGAACTACATTATATTGGGTAATTGGGTATTGGAAATTGGGATATTGGGTAATTGGCTCACTAATACCTGTACTCATTGCTATTTTAAATTGTTTTGTATGAGCTGTAAGTTTTCCATGTTTATAAATAAATAAAATGGGCTAGAACTTATGAAATAAAAGTATGTGAGAAGTAGTCTCTCACAAGAGATAAGAGTTACGTCGCGCGTCGGTATCACTGGCAGCGATAGCCACGCGGGGTTATCTACAGGTCACCCACCTCGACCTCGTCCTCGTCGCCGGGCGCGGGGCGCAGGCCCAGCGGCTCCGCGCGCAGGCCGGCGGGCAGCAGCGCCAGCGCGGCGGCCAGGCCGGCGGCGGGCGCGGGCGCGGGCGCGGCGCCGTCGGCCTGCAGCGAGTGCCAGGAGCGCAGCTTGAGCCCGAGCTGTGCGTGTCCGAGGGCCAGCAGTTCCTCTGCATGCAGAGCCCCGAGCCGCTCCCCGCTCAAGGAGTAGCGCGCCAGTCGCCGAGCACTGACTACTCCGGCTTCTTCGTCTCCCAAGCAGCGTCTCTGCTCAAATCAGAAACTATTAAAGCCACTCTTGATGTGCAATGTAAAATAACTATATTTGTGTCACTCTAGATCTAATATAAAAAGTAATCTGTGGAGAACGTAGTGGGTAACATATTTGCCAAGTATAATGTGTAAGCTGAATTATGTATATTTTGTAATATGTTACTGTTTGTTTTTCCTTAAATAAATAAATAAATAAATAAATAACTACGTTAAGAAAGATTAAAGAGTAACATTGAAGCCCTAATATATTGATATTGTGAAATATAATTTGTTAAAACCGTAAAGCCATTAATTTGTGTATCCATTAATTGTACCTTTATTTTCCTGAACACATCTTCAGAAATACTTTCATAGAGTACATCACAGGAGCCTGACACGTCTGTCTCGTTATGTTCTCCGCTCAACATTTGAAACTGAAATTATACATCACATAAGTGTCACACTAATGAAGAGATGTTCATTATTACTGTATATAATTTGTGCAAGCCTGGAATAGACTAAGTATTTCTCTCTTTTTAATACCTGAAACAGACTAATTATTGCTTTCTGGTAATTGGCCACATCTGTTAACTCATCAGGGTTGAGATAAGCTTCTTTGATCAATCCATGGCTCCAGTGCGCATAGAAGGTGGTGTCCCCGACAGTGTCCCACACCGAGCTGTATGGCATGAAGTCGGCATTCACGTTCTTGCCTCTAAGGTACAGCTTAGGAGAAAGCAACTGCAAACAAACAAAACGATCGAACAAGATGCACAGACAGAAGGGGCCGGGGCAGCTCGGCGCATGCGCACCTGGAACTCCAGCAAGTACTCGGACGAATCGCGCGCCCAGCGCGGGCGCAGTAGCAGGCGCGCGCGCAGCTTGTAGCCGACCTCCTTGCTGGTGCGCGCCGCGTCGTTGAGCTGCAGCGTGGTCTCCAGCCGGAAGGCGGCCGCCGCGCCCAGCGCGCGCCACGGCCGCGGCTCGGGCTGCAGCCCCGCCAGCCCCGGCAGCCCCACCAGCCCCACCAGCGCACACAACACTACCGCGCGCCACACGCCGACGCCCATTGTACGTTGTTGTCGCCACTTATTTTCTACGATGTTCTTGAAATTCCTGTACGAACATGTCAGACTGGCGCTTAATGAACTCTCTCGTCGTTATCGTATCTCGAACTCTCGAACTTCATTTCGAGTAACCACCGAGTAACGTCCGGTATATGCGGAAACTTGATGTCACTGTCAATGTCAAAATACTTTAACTTGACAGGATCACGGTGTCATGGAATGTCAAGATGTCACGTCACTAGTGACAGATGATAGAAATAGAAATGTCAACTTGTCAATGTCACGCAAATAAATATTTCTTTCATTAATGATGACATGAGTCAACCACAGACTTAAAATAGATAAACAACCCCAACATTACCTTTGTGAAACATACATGCGCAATTTTTAGCTTAAACAGGGCCGGACTAAACGACCTTAGACCTCATTATTAGGTACCTACATAGATATAAGCATGTTTTTGGGATAAATAGTCAATATTTATAAATACTGAATAAATACCCATTTTACTATATTTTTTATGTATATGTTACCGGAAATGTATGAGAAATCCTATGTAATTTATATATTTAAGAATAACAGGTAATATTCGTCTCCCACCCTTCAATAACACTGACCACTCCCAAGACTAGTTCTTTCCTTGTCTTATCATCTACAGACGGCCCCATTTATATCCGCTCTGTATACTTACTTCTTCCGTTACTCTACTTTCATCCATGCTTTCTACATGTCCAAACCAGCGTAACATTCCCTTTTCAATCCTTGTCACTACATCATCTTTCAATCCACACTTTTCTCTAATCTAATAACACTATTTTTTACTCGATCACTCAATTTTAGTCCACACATATTTCTCAGGACTCTCATTTTCAATGCATTAATCCTGCTTTCATGCTTCTTCTGCCACACCCATGATTCACGACCATACATAAGCGTTAGTTGGGGTCAATACACACTGCATTACATACATACAACTTTCCTACTACGCTTAGGAGGCTTATACCGCGATAATTTTTGCACTCCTGCTGTGATCCTTTTCCTTTATCCAGTGGGACAATTACGGCCTTGACCCAGTCTCCAGGGACACGACCGCCCCGCCTACACTTATTAAAAAGTAGATACAGGAGGCTTGCAATTACACCTCCGCCCTCAGTTAGCATTTCAGTAGTTATCCTATCACAGCCCGCTGCGGCGCCGCGCCGCTAGAATCAACAGTAGCTCGTTCCAGCATAGCAGAGTACTGTCTTCTTAATCTTACCCTACCGAACGACTATAAAACGCTCTTTTTCACGACACCGCAACGCCGCAACGCAAACTGCCGATTTTAGTGTTGCGGCGGGCGACGCAACGCGGTTATATGTTTCGGCCCTTAATGACACTCACAATTTCATCCATATTTATTTCTCCCACTTTAGCACCTTCATTATCATCGTTTACTTCCTCTTCTTTCAAATAAATTCTCGAAATATTCCTTCCACTGCTTTAAAACGTCCTTACTTTCTCTAATGACTCTCCGGTTTATATCTCTTATCATACTTAGTTTCGAGTCCCCCACTCTGGCACTTCTATGCTTCTGGGCGCAACACTGGGTACTTTTATCCCGAAAAGGCATACCTATAGGTACATGAAAAATCAAACTTAATTGTGCGGCTCAATCCCTAAACACGTGGCACGCAACATCACATCCGGACTGTAGGTATTTCTTATTCACTTTGTCATGTCATGACATACACCATCACAAGCACCAAGCAAGCATTTTAAAAAATTCCGCCCTTGAGGGGCCTGAATAAGGGTGATGCTATATAGAGTGTCCCTGAAGTTAGCGATCAAACGGCACCAGTTGATCGGAAAGGTTCCGACAGTTATCAGATTTTAAAAACTTCAACATATAGTTTTTAATTTAAACTGTCAAACACCAAGCGGTCACCGGTGACCGCAACCTATTGTTCTTTTTGTGTCTATAAATACGGTACTCGACGAGTTAAAATATATCCACGTAAATCGTAGATAAAACATGACTTACGTGTATACACGCTGTGCCAGTCTTTTGACTCTTGTTGCTTACCTCCTGCCTTCGGCTTCCACAAGATGTCAGGGCGATGTGTTGTACCTTCGACCTTAACTGTTCTACTGAATAGCGACTGCGCCAAATGTGGTAAATATGTAATTATGTGTCATGACTCAAACTAAACTATGTTTAACTAAATGAACTAAAAAGAAATATCTGATATTAATTAGGTAGGTAAATAACATTTAGATAATTTCGAACATGGGACACTTAGTTAAATATCGCAATCACAACGAAATTATTCGTTCGTACACAATACTTCTTCATTGACGTATTAAAACATAGAAAGTGTGTATGTTTGTTTGTCCATCTTTCGTGGCAAAACGGACTGATATTAAAGGGATGGAGATATGTCTTTTCTCATATTTATTTAAAATTATTTTTTTCGAAAACGGACTCTGTCTCTGTCCCCCTTCTTGTGAGTAGCTGGAAAGCGTAGGGATTCGTGATTGACGTGTATTAGGACCGACTGTATTCCTCATATGTGAATGAGCTTTGTCAGCTTCACCTACCAAATTGCAAAATTATTATTGATGCAGATAACACAGCTCTAATAATTGATGGTCGTGACGGGAGAAATGTTCTTCAAAATCCTAACATACATACATACATAACTTCACGCCTGTCTCCCATGGGGGTAGGCAGAGACTAAGGAACGCCAATTACTACGATTCTTACATACCTCTTTCGCTTCATTAACAGTAATCAATCTTTTCATGCATGCTCGTCGGTTAAGGGTACTTTTAATTTGGCCCTTCTTTAATATATCGCCAATCTGGATATGAAAGTAGGAGAGTCTGGGTTAAGGATGAATGACACAGTGATTAAAACATTGTTGTATGCCGACGACCAGGTGCTTTTTGCCTCGTCGGCCCAAGAATTACAACTAAAGATCACTATGAATGATGCATTTGAAAGGAAAAGTATGAAAGTAAATGTGAACAAGACGAAAGTGTTGGTGATAAAAAGAAATGAGGTGATAACAGAATGTGATAGGTGATGAAAAATTGGAACAAGTGAATGAATTTGTATATCTGAGATCACTATTTACGAGAGATGGAAAGTGTGACGGGGATATTGAAAGGAGAGTAAAAGCGGGAAATAGTGTTAATGGTGCTTTACACTCTGTAATGTCGAATAAAATAATATCCAGCAAAGCTCGACTTGCTGTAATGCAGTGTGTATTGACACCAACGCTTATGTATGGTAGTGAATCATGGGTGTGGCAGAAGAAGCATGAAAGCAGGATTAATGCGGTGGAAATGAGAGCCCTGAGAAGTATGTGTGGACTAAAATTGAGTGATCGAGTGAAAAATAGTGTTATTAGAGAAAGGTGTGGATTGAAAGATGATGTAGTGACAAGGATTGCAAGGGGAATGTTACGCTGGTTTAGACCTGTAGAAAGGATGGATGAAGGTAGAGTAACGAAAGAAGTATACAGAGCGGATATGAGTGGGACCGTCGGTAGAGGGCGCCCTAGACGGTCATATAGCAAAATCCTAAGATAGCCCTAAATGCTTTAAGTGCAGTCATGCATGAAATGGTTAACAAAAATTAACTCTATTTTGTGTCTAATGTTAATAAAACCAAGTTTATAGAAGATTTGGATTGGACTAGCCCCCATGGGCCATTTCCATAAAATGGTGTCTGTGTGTTTATAAAGAGGAATATCTAAAGGTAGGTATCTAGGTACCATTTGTGAGTAACACCAAATAGCGCATCATTGTTTTTATAAATCTGCAGCCAATCCATTAGAGGGCGAACAAATCCGCAGACAAAAGCTAGTAATGAATAAATCAGCAAGAAAAAAAGCAAACTTTCCAATTAACGTAACGAGGTGATTTGTAATGAGTTTAAACAATAACTATCACGAAGCGCTTCACATCAAGTTTCCTTGTGCGTACTACCCTACTAAGTACATTAAACTGAATAAGACAATTAAAAAAATTAAAAAGAGGCACAGTCTATCTAAATTAAACTTAAATTTAAGAAAACAAAAAGTTAAACTAGTTAGTGAAATTAAATCTTGCCATAATGAATTAGAAGAAAGTAGGGCTTTATATGACTTGGACATCCAAACTCTTAGACAAGAATTGTTACAGAGAGAATTATTCCTAAACCAGATGTTCCAAAAGTATGAATCCGCCCAATCTGAGATTAATAATCACATGATTGAAGCAGGTAAACTAGTAGACTTAGTAACTTATAGTGCTGAGAGATATGAGTCTCTAGCAAATAACCTTTCTTGTAGTTGTGCTCACACCCTGCCTCCTGAGCCGGAACATAATATACCTGTATCACATACGGTCACTCAACCAGCTATGACCAGCAATGTTAGTGTGTTCACTGACTCCATAGGAGCAGGTATTGGGTCGCTCATTTCAAATTGCCTCGATTACCTACAGTATAACAAATTACTGTTATAGTAACATAAAGTTTGGTCAGATGATACAAAAAATAAAACAATAATGTATCACACAAACTCAGCCGGTAGTGTTGTTGATGGGTGATAGTACTGGGGTAAAGAAGCGGGATATAGTGGATGGTGTTAATGCTTTATTAAAACTAAAAATAGGAAACATAATAATGTGTGCTTTTCCGTATTCTGACAATTTGACAGAATCACAGAATAAAAATATATATTATTTAAATAATTTAATATTTATGCTGACATGTTGTCATAAAGACAAATTATTATTTTTTGACACTAACAAATTTGTTAGTGGTTTTAATTTGACCAAGGAATACATGTTTATTCCTAGAAAATGTAAAGTTTTACTTGCTAGTTTGCTAGCAAATAGTATTAATTTAGTTTATAATAGCTTAAGTGACGGATCTATATTATGTAGACAATCTAATAATATAGAGATTAGCTGTACTTATTATGATAGTACGAAAGAGACTCATGATTTGATGACAAATGTGGGTACTCTGGATAACTTTTTAAACTAAATAATAAGACAACAGAGGATAAACAATTAAATGTTACAAATGTTCCATGCATTGTTAAGGTATCTTCTGGCAGTATATATAAGTCTAAATCTATGAAAGTAGTACATAAGAAGAATAAACAAGAAAAGTTGTTAACATTGTTTAATCAAAATATGCAGGGCTTTTCATCAAAATCTCTAGAAATTGAATTATTTTTAGAAAAATTTAATTATGATATTGTTTGTATTACTGAACATTGGCTGAAGGATTATCAAGTAGAATCTATAAATTTTAAAAACTATTGTGTTGGAAACTATTTTAGCCGTCAAACAATGATACATGGTGGTAGCCTAATTTTAGTTAACAATTCAGTGAAATAAAGAAAGACAAGATATTACATTATTGTCAATAGAGCAC